CTAGGTCAGAACACTGAACAACAACAGAGAAACATAGAAAGAAGGAGGATAGAATTCATTTACAACATTGTAATGGTTGTAGAGCCAGTTAGTTAAACCAGCAGACCAATTATATGAAGTCTGAAGTCAGGCTATCTTAAAAAGATCTGTTCGCAGGAGGGGGCAGGCTTCTACAGAGATGTGCTATGACTCACAGATTGATTTGGCAAGGCAAAAGTGTTTCTGCACGTCCTAAAGGGAGATAAGCAGACCAGCTTCTACGTTACGTGGTTCAAATCAACTCCACAGCTGCAGTGGAATTAGATAGAATTGGCCACTCACCTGGTTTTGTGGTAGACTTATTTTGCATAATTCGCTAGCGTTTGCTTGAGCTGGTTTTGTGCAAGGAATTCAGCACAATGAAGCCTAATCGTGTTGAACGACACAATAGATTTCAGTCAACTGGGTCAAGGGCTCCTTTCCTGCTGCAGCCGTCATACTCTGGGGAGCTTTTGAACCCTTGGCCACAGACTGCTCTCAGAAGGTCACAAGCTGTATAAAAGCCTTTAGGTCAGTGCTTCTCAAACCTGATCTTAAGATCTGTGGACTTCAACAATATCTGGCTGGGAAATTCTGGGAATTGCGGTCCACGGATCTTAAAAGTCGTCACGGTTGGGCTTTAGATCTAGATGTTCCACATTAGAAGAGTCCCAGAACAAACAAATAGTGGAATTTTCAAAACTGGTCAATCGGTGCTTGCTGGTCACTTGATCCCAGAGTTCCTGGCATGATAGTTCTCATAACATTTAGTGTAGTATAGCCTTTATTGTCATTGTACATCATGTATACAATGAAATTGGTTAACAGATTTAATTGGCATTTCTCTTTAAGGATGTGATTAAAAGCAGAATTTCAATAGCAGTCCTATGTCTTTATTTCTCTTTATTTTATTTCTTTATTACATTTTTATGCTGCCCATCTCCTCTACAAGGTGACTCTGGGTGCTCTACCTAGTAATTTATATATGTTGCCCACATTTCTACCCCACGATAATCCAGAGATTGCCATAATGCTCAATGAAGCTTAAGCCAGTGAAGAATTGTGGGGAATTCAAAAGCCTGCATATCCTTCTTGTCAGTTGGCCAATAATGCCGTTATCATAATATCTATTTCAAGATATATATTTTTTTTAACAAACGGGACTGTGGCTCGCTTTGCTTTTCATATTTTTAGAAATACGAAACAGAGTAAGGCATTTATGGTTTGAAACGCTTCAAGAGGCCTACAATGGCACAGTTCTGGTTCCATTTTTTGATGGTTTCAGGTAACTTAACTGTCCCAGCCTGGGTGCCCCAAATGTCAACCAGGAATGAGTGAGCTCTCATAGGACTGCTGCGAAAGGGGGAGGGGAAAAAACACAATATAATCCCGCAAAGCCAAACTAAACAGCAACTGTGAACCGAGCCCGCAGGAAGCAATAGCTGTAATTCCACAGACTTGAAAATATTCCAAACCAACCATGTCCTGGTGACTTAATCTACTCATTTGAGAGTAAAGCTTTTCAGAGGTGATTAAATATTTGGCACAATTACTTGCAGCAGAAGAGACCACGGGCACAACTGGGGGGAAAAAACCTAGGGTGACCTTGTCCTAAATATCAAAAGAGCATTTCATAAATATTTAACACTGCAGTGCGCTGGCTCGTCTTCTGTCAAAAGAGATGGCAAGCAGGCATCGCTATGCAAGCCGTTTTTCTCAAACCTCCCCAGGATAAGGAGCGTTATCTCCTTTTACAAGTTAAAAGTTAAAAACTGTGAGACTGCTCAATTAGCACTGTTTTCAAGCCTCTTTCATATCTCCTCTCCTTCCTTTGCTGAATGAATCAAGGCCTCTTGGACAATTAGGATGCTTTTGTGTGTTTGCAGCCTCTCTCAGCTGCCCTACGTGAAAAGCTAGCGCCTCCTTGTTTATTTCAAAGGAAAAGTAATTATCGACAGAAGCAAAGGGAGTTTGTGCGCTTACAAGGACACCAATGAAGAAGTTCAAACTTTTGACTTCTGCTTAAAAATCTAAACAGGCTTTCTGCATTGCCATACAAATTAAGGGAAGTGTAAATCAAGCCTTCGAGAGTTGTTCACAGTCATAGTAGTTTTTCTGGGCCAACTGAACAAATTCTGGTCCTAGCAATCACTTGATGACGAAGCCTGGGCAGAGGGGGGAACACGCAAATAAAAAGAGATAATCCTTACATCCTTGGCTGCTTTTGGATCAGATACGCAGGCAAAAGTGATATCGCAGGTCGAGACTACTTCGGCGGGGGTTCTTCCCAACCGGGCCCCCTCCTGGATGAACAAATCACACTGCAAAAGTCACAGACCCAAATGTTAAGAATTAAAATGAGCCTCGGAAACCCCGATACGCCCCCAACTCCGTCACCGCAGCCACGGCTGTGACCCCACACCCCGCATTGGGAGACTTCCCAATGCAACCCCAGAGAATGTTCAGTCTGGGTCAGAATAAAGTTCTGCCGTTTCCACTAGGCAATAGAAAGCTGCCTTCTCAGATCAGGTAACTGCACCTGAACCAAAGCAAAGAGAATTAGCTAAGCTTGCCAGGATAACTAAGAAATCCCTTCTCTGCTTTCTAGAAAGGCCGTTAAAGGCCATTATTGTTGTCATCCGGTAGCAGGCAGCAGGTTCGGACAGTGAGGAAGTTGGGGAGTAACATGGGCCAGTCTTGGAGTCTGGGGAAGGCTCTGATGAGGGCT